TTAAATATAAATGATAATCATAACAAAACAGTGCCATCAGCTAGTAGTGCTGCCTTCAAAAACTAGAGGAAATTTTTTAAGCAATTTTGAAAAATTCTGACTGTTCTTAATAAAAGACATGTAATCTATGATTCTACAAGCAGATCTGAATGACAACAGTACGTGATCTGTAACTCAGCAGTCCCAAATTTGTCATCAGTTGATGCAGTCACTCCAAAATAAGCTCTCTACACAATGAGATTAATCCTAAAAATTGTCATTAATTTAACAAGTAAGAACAACGAGGAGTTCTCTTTTTGAAAAGAAGAAATCTTCTCAGGGTTCACCAGAAAAGCAGTTCTATTGTGGACACAGATGAAATAGCAGAACTTAACTGAGTTTATGAAAAACCTCATCTCTAAGAAAGAGAAACTATTTCAGCGAAACCACAATGTCGCTGGCCTAGTGGTATACCAGTAGTATTAACTGTAAAATCATGCCCACAGAGATTAAAGCTATTCCTAGTATAAGAGTTAGTATGTCTTTCTGGAGAAACTAATTAATTCAGGGGAAAAAAAATGTGTGAGTAGGTTACTTCAGTACAGAACAAGTTTAGACTTTTCATTGAGCTTTTATATTTCAATCATAATTTAGTAGTTTGGCGACCATCCTTTTCTGTCATAACTGAACAATTCCATGGATTCAAAATGGAAACATTCATGGAAGAAAAATTTATTGAGGACTATTAAATAGTATGACACTATCTCTGCTTTAAGTCATTATGTCACAAATTCCTAGAGATCAGGAGACCGTTCTGAGAAATACTGATGTGTGTTGTCCTGCTCTTATATTCATTTCATCTTCTGTTGACCACTGACTGGAAAAATCCAGATTTCATCTGACGACGCACAGTCATTCCAGTGTAGTACAAGTGGGCTGATTTCCTCTAGAAGAATTAAGCTCCTCAGGTTAGGTACAGCAACATCCAACTTTGGTACCTGAACACTAAAAACACAAACTGAATGAGTCACCTTCTCATTAGAGTTAGGTGTTTAAAGAACGATTCATAGAATGTAGAAATGAGGTAAAGAACCAATTAACAATAATAAACAGGGAAAAAAATTAAGAACAGAACTATGTTTAATTTTGCTGTTTTACTCCAGATCTTGGGTGCCCGGTTTAGATACAGTCATGTCCTGCGTGCAACCTTATCTTATATTGAGTGCATATATGATTTTAAGACAATGTATGCACCTATTTCGGATACTCAGTATTTGTTGACATTGTCTGGGTTGATGCTTTAATTTATTCAAGAAACCTGAACTTATGCACTGCACTGAACTTACTACAATGTATCTTTTGTTAACTGTTAATGTAAAATATTAGAAAGAAAAAATGGAATTTAATACTTTATGTGGCTTTATATAATTGTGCTTTTAAGATTTTACGTCATTAAATTTATTAACCACATTTCTTCCATTATGTTTATATAAAGATTTTGTTTACAGTTTCTAAGTTTAACAAATTTGAGAAGGAGACTCTTTTCTCAAAAAAAAAGAATGGGAACCTAGGACTCATTCTCACTATGCCGATGTGAAATAAGAAAAGTTTAAATACTAGCCTTTACTTTTTAAGTGAATTTAAGTGAATTTAAATAATTTTAATCCTCTTTGGCTGAAGTTTTTATTTTAAATGAATGCTTTCTAAAGTCGGGTAACATACATAAACTTTTTTTTGCATTGGTAACCAAATTTCTAAATATTTATTTTAATAATTGAACTTAATTAATGTAGTGGAATAAGCATCTATAATTAACCATGTTCATGTAATATTAAGTGTTGACAATAACCTTGGAAGACAGAAACAGCAAGGTTTGGAGACTGTGTTTATCTACAGTATGTTGCAAGTAAACAGTATGAAAGTATTTTTATTCAGTGAAAAACTGTTTTAATCTGAATTTGATGTTTATTTTATTGAGATAAAAGGATTAAACAAAATGAATCATGGTTTGTACTTTCTGGGAGGTCCACTGAAATCTATCCGTGTAATCCTTTCATCGGTGTTAGGACAAATTACTGAAATATCTGGCCTTGTGAAGGGTGTAGACTCTTTATAGTTTGGCAAGATGAGCCTAAAAACTGATTCCTCACTGAAGTAGATTGACACAGACTAACAAGAGTAGACCCTTTAATGTACACAATGCTGTAACTCTGGATAAGTAATCTTGGGTATGACTGAACAAGACACAGCAGCAGCCCACAATAGAATCCTTTGATAGGCTCCCAGAGGACAAGGTGTATATGCAAGGCATTTAGTTTCGTAGTCCTGGGAACAGGTTTCACAAATTAAAAAGAGGCATGCAACTCTTTTGTTTAGAACTGATATTCATGACTGGGCTGTGCCAGTGGCCCACAGGCAGAGAGAGATTATTTTTCATTGAAGTACTTTTGTTCTCCTGATAAGGTCTCTTGTTGCTGAGAAGATTTTTTTTTTTTTCACGAGACTTTGTTTTGAACCTTCATAATTTTCTTGGAAAAAATCTTTTTTTCTAGAGAGGCTTTTATAGGACCATGTGTTCTTAATTCTTTTTTAAAAAAATTAAATACGTTAGCATTGGTTTTATTTACTGAATTTCATTTCTGAAGATAATGCAGCCATAACACATGCATCTTCCTTTCAAAAAGGAGGACTCTGGTTTATCTCATGTCTCTTAAACATAAAAAAAAACCCTATAAATCTTAATGAATACAATTAAATATGGAAAAATATAAACAATTCAAAACACCCAGCTTGCTTTAAGGCAGTGTTTTTTATAGATTGTATGGTCATTATTGTTTTAGAAGCAGTTTATCTACAATCGTATTTTTACACCCCTCCAAAATGTTACTGTTGCTCAGCACTTTGCTGCTCACTATGACCTCTGTATTCCGCATTTGTAGTCAATGCATTGTTCTTCTTTGGGTGGTTGTTATTTACTACAGTTATTTTAAAGGTAAAGATATTTTAATTATTTGCACAAAGCTAAGCCTGTTAGAGGTGATAGGCATTGATTCATTGGTTGCATTCGCTGGATTTTAAAAATCATTTTATGAACTTAATTTAGTGTGATCATTCCATTCATTTTTACACTAGTTTTCTAAAATGTCAATTCAAATTAACAGCTCAGTTCCCAGAGCTGTGGTTTACACTGATTTGTTGTATCGCTGCTGATCAGAACGAGACAGTAAATAACTAATAAGAATTTAGGGTACACTGCATAACATCTGGACAAGAAAAAATATGAGTGACTCGACAAAGTAGAATCTAGTAGAAAAGCATACATATTTTTTTTCATGTACTGAAACATTGCTTCAGGTTGAAATAAGTGAAAAAAGTACAGTCAGTATGTGATGAGCAGAATGGCCTTTCAAAATTGATAATTGATTAGTAGTTTCTAGATTTCTATTTATATTCAGAGCAGATTAACTTTCTTATAGGAAGTGATGGAAAATGATTATTTCCATACAGAGGCAGTTTGTGTAAAACATATTATAAAATTATTCTGTTACATTTGAGTTTAATATATATATATATATATAGCTTTCATCTGTTTCTGAAAGCTGAAGATTTTGTAACACTTAAACATTTTGTTTTCAAATTTTCTCTCCCCCTTTTTTTTCCTTCTTTCTTCTTTTTCTCCTCTTCCACTTCTCATTTCCTGTTCTCTTCTCATCTTGTCATCATCATCATCTTCTCATCTGCCCTTTTATTTCTCCAACTTTTACTAAAATTAGTTAAGTTTGGGAATGTTTGGGAATATTAGTTAAAGAAAGAAAAAGCATATTTCATCCTTACGTAATAGAAGTCCTAGTGAAAATGCAATAGGTAAGTTAGTCGTCTCTTGCATTATGAGAATGGCAGATAACATAGTCAGAAGTAAGTGACATGGAAATGCATATAAAGAGCTGAGTCTCATCTAGTTCTGTAAGTTTATAGTAAGCGAGAGAAGAAAAATTTGATTTGGGTTAAAGCTTGCATTGCCTTTTTAGCAGTAAGAACGTGAATGGAATAACTAACCTACAATAAAATAAAGATTCAGATAAAAGAATCACCTTTTACTCATCAAGTAAAAAGAAATCATATTATTATCTCATCATCTTATCAGCCTCATTTCTAGTTCTGCTTAAATTAAACCTAGATCTACCTAAATTTAGTCAACACTCTTTTTTTAACTAACTGAACTGTATAAAATATGGACTATTGCCCCCTTAAAAGCAATATTGGTTTTGAAAAAAAATCATAGATCAAGAAAATTTCTGTAGGAAATCGTGTAAATTCCTTCTCGTTTTTTCTGCTTTGTTCTTTTCTTGTTAGTGTCCATAAAAGTACTTTTGCAACTGGAATTACAATAATTAGCATAGCAGCTGCATATGATTTCACAGGATTATGATTAGCATTAACGAGCAGATAAGGTCCTTGAAAGCAAACTCTGTTTTCATTTCAATATTCTAATGACAAAAGCAGGAAAGAAAAAATCTACTTTCTCAGCAAACTGGCTCCAAAAGTCTTGTCAACATTTTTTGTCATGGGTCAATAAGTCTATAAGAAGTTGTTGTTATATGTTATAAAACAGCAACTGATTAATGAAGAAGCTGAATTGCACATTCACCTTTGAATATGGTAGTTCCGTTTATATTCTCTGCTTTACCTAATTAAGCACTGAGGACCAAGGTTTTTTGGTCTTGAATGATGTCTTCTTCACTATTCTATTATACTATTAAAAATACATATTTTAATATATGAATATTTGAAAAATGAAATACTTTTTCTTCTTACTATGATACAGTCTGTCCTGTAAGTTTATTGGAAATTTATAGGAAATCTGGTGTAAATCTAGCTCAACTGTATTTAAGTGTTAGTCTTGCAGTTTCTATTTTGTGAGAGTAATTTAATCTATCGAATAGAAGAACTAGTTTTACACTAATTTGAAATAATTTTTCTCTTAAAAATATATAGAATATATAATTTTTTTTTTTTTTTAGTGTGGAAAAGAGTCTTAAAGAGCTACAGTCAGAAATAAATGAAAAATGTACTGACGAACTACTACAAGACACAACTGACTGCCTTCAGTGGCTAAATAACTGCAATTTTAGTTCTCTCAAGCCTTCTACTACACACCATGGGGAGCTGCTGGAGTTCCTTAGGACCCTGGTAAAAATTGTTTACTAAAGACTTCTATTTGGGGGAAACTTTATTATGCTTATTATTTTGCTGTAAATTGGTATTCTTATTTTGACCTTCACTGAAATTAATATAGTTCAAAAATTTCAATATATGACTCAGTACAGTTTTTACTTTATGTCTGTAGCAGGTATTACTTGGGTTTACATTTCCCTGTAATCATGTCTGAAGTAGAACCAGAGGCTTTTTTGTATTGAGATGTTGGTAAAAATGTCTGAAGTTACTCTCTACACCAATTCTGATTGCTTCTGCTGATTCTTTTTTTGTATCAATATAAATTAAATGCATCTAATGTAGATAATTATATCTTATGCATTCTTTAAGCATTAACTTGTTATAAACTTTTTCTAAGTAGCTATGTGGGAACAACTTACAAATAGTACAAGAAGACGTAGCCAGAAATCAAACTGCACTTAAGTGAAAAAAAATCCCTTATTTTAGAAAGCATTTTCTTCCCAAATTTGTCTCAAAACTTGAGGCTTAGAATTTGTATCTGGAAGTGGAATTCTGTTAAACTGAATTGGATTGGATCCATAGATGAAGCATAATACCTCAATAAATGACAGATGGCTATTTTATATGGAAGCTGTGGGTATATGTGTCTGTATGATGTGTGTGAATGAATGTAAAAGTAAATAAGCATGAACTATATCCGATGGATAGGTATTATTAATGGTCACTTCCATTTCATGTTTTATTTGGAGGACACAAACATTTTTAGCCCAAAATTGACTATATTAGCAGAGTCATTCAAAAAAGCCATTCAAATAAGTGGGGTATTTTTTCCTTTGGGACTAGGTTTTGAGGAAAGCTAGGTTTTTTAACTCTTGGAAATGCCTATTGGCCTTCCAGTCACACTGGAATCCACTGGATACTTGCATGCGCCATAGCCCTGGTTAGCTTAAGTCGTGTCAAATTATAAAGTCATCTCTGCACATCGTCTTTACTTGGCCCTTTCATAAGAGGGCAGAGCAATGGTAACTACCTGTGTCCATTTCGCATGCTTGTCCTTCTCCTAGGTCTAGTCAAGCCGTGTACCGGAACACCAGGTGGCGGCATTTGTTTGTGGAACACCCAAATGCTGCCATATCAGGAATACTTGGGGTGTATCTCAGCCGGATGTGCCTGCTGCATCTGCTGCTCCCCAGGGGCATAGCAGTCCTGACTTCATGATGATCTGGCTTGTGGGCTGTAGAGGCGAGCAGAGCCTAGAGAATGGAGGAAATGGCAGAAGTGTGAAGCCTGGAAAGCTCAATTCTGCACAGCTGGTCAGGAGAACATCTGTAGAGCATGAGAAATGGGACTCTAGTGTGTCCGCACTCATGGCTTCTCATCAGACAATCCAGCCTGATTGTTGTGTAGATGGGATTGTAGATGAAAGGTACATATGTTAGCAGAGATGCTCCATCTACAGCAAATTATACTTGCACTAGATAATCCTTAACTCCATAAACAGTTCATCAGTAAATTATTCTCAGTAGTAGTGAGCATTAATGAGAACATTACAGCCTGACCTTTTTTAACTGCATATCTGCATCCATTGAATTTAATTAGTCAGTTGACTTAATTTCTCACTTGCAAGCTTTTAATTAAATAATTATGCAATACATTTTCAATAATAGTAACCTTCCATCTACTTTGGAACAATATCCCTATCCATTATTATACCTCATTATGCATGTTTATTTTGTTAGAGATTTTGTTTATCTTTTCAACGCCAGAACAATTTTAAAAAATAGTGCTAAGTACAGCATATTCCTTGCCAGAGGTGCTGCATTTAGCTGCATTATTAGCCTAGTATTCTCATGTATTTGTAAACTGTCTAGAAATCCTAAGAAGTTCTTCATGAAGCTTTCTGCTTCATGAAGCATCAAAAGGCATGATTTACATTTAGCAGTTTGACAGCTTTTAGAGTTCTCTTGCATGTTTGTTTATCTGTTTCAGAATAGAATATCTGAGCATAATTCATAAAAAATAATCCTTGAACTCGGAAGTTTACATGTTGAGACTTGGCACTTCTGTAGTGTAGTTATTGCTCATAATTTACAAACTGAGGCACACTATTGGAGCCACAAAACTTTCAAGAACACTATAGTAGTAAAAAAAGAAAAACAAGTCAACTTCATGCATATGCCTATAGCTATATGTGATACAAGATATTATCTATCTAGCCATAATTCTGTCATCACATACGAATGCTTTTATAGATTGTTACCTACTGGACTACTAATTTCCTCTCTGACTACCGTATGTGTGTCCTCTTCATAAGTCAAAAAAATTCATATGAAGCATCCTGAAATAAAGATGCAGAAAAGAAGAAATATAGCTAGCTAGCTAATTTTTAAGATTTTCCTTTCACGGAAGACAATCCTCTGTCTTCTGTTCAGAATTAGAAAATGTGGTGCTACTCTTACTTTTAAATTTGCTTCATGGAACACTCCAGGATAGAGGACAGTAGGAAGGATATTGTTCTGTTCCCTAAGTGTGCAATGGTTAAATAGTTTTTACTTTTCTAATATAAATTATATATTAAAAAAGATTGCTACAGAAGAAAGCTTGAACATTTTCTATTTTGTAATAGTTACAGTTCACATTTGATCCTTTTCTCTCTACCTTTCAAAATGAGGGGAGGAATTTAAAACTAGCAATTTCCTGCCAATACTTTACCTTAAATAAATCAGAAGTTCTATGGAGAAAAGGTGGCCGAACTAGCCTCGTTTTATGGGATGGAGTAAAGCTAGGATGTCAACACAGGGGTCTCGGACACTGCGGACACGATCAATGTGATCAAGTAGTGCCAGTTTATTCAGGGTTCCGATTGCGCTTACATGCAAGGCTTCCCCGAGCATGCGAGCGCTTCTTTACAATGATTGGTTAAGACCCCACGTCCATGCATCTAACTATGCAGTGTGATAGGCCAACTAGCAGTGTCCACGCGCCCTTACATTTAACGACCGTCCCCCTCTTCCTGTTTGTCTCAACTCTTTGACTCCTTATCTGATTCTCAGCAGAATTCCTTATCTTTTAGTCAACAGTCTTTTCATCCTTTTCAGCTAGGTGTGGCGCCTATCTGCCCTTTCATCTAGATCTGGCGCCCTTCTGCCCTTATCTGGCTTGCTCACAACAGGACCACTGGCCTTCAGAAATCCCACACTAGGAGACCCAGATAAAGGATATGAGTCATATCCTAGTGGTTTGCAATGATCATTTCTCGGTTGGAAGTCCTGAAAGAGAAGTGGTTGGGTGGGGAGAAAGTGAAAGATCCTAGGACTTGCCTACATGATGTATGAAGCCAGAGTCAATAGTGCAACCAGTTTTAGTTGGTTTTCTTGTGATTGTTTTTGGGAAATTTGTAGTGCAGCTCGGAGGACTGGGAGCAGTCTTTATAAGTAAAAGGCCAATGGGCCTAAGCTAAAGACAACCTTCAAAAAGAGAAATGTTGACAATGTGGGACATAGGTTTATGATAGACAAGAATGCTTCACTGACTGAGTAAATACATTTTGGTATCCCCAAAAGCACTGTATGCATCTGTGTGATTTCATCTGCTTGCTTAATAGGCTTCCTTCTTTTCTAACCCATATAGCTGTAAAGTATTTTGAGCCTGGTACTTTATTAATGTATAAGGCTGCCTCTAGGTTTGGAAGATGCATAGCTCCATACTGTTACGCCACATGTGACGTAAGTCTTAACATGTTTTTGATTTTAGTTCTTTGAAGGACCTGGACAATTTTTTTTTATTATTATTAAACAGCCTTTTTACTGGTCACCTGGTGAATCACTACACTGAAAGCAACAAGGCATACTTTTCTAAATTTCTTTCTTGCTTATATGAGCAAAATCTGTCACTTTCCTTGTAAATCCTAAGTAATCTAGTAATCTTTCATGTTATTTTCTTTCCAAGATGCCATGGATTCCAGTAGATAGGCTTCATCATCTGCTAAGGCTTATCAAATGAACTGTGGTTGTTTCTGGCTTTCCCATGAACTGCAGATTAGAATTGACTGAGAAAAGAGGTTAAAGATATAAGAAAGATGGGAAAAGAAATGTGAGTTTATTGGAGCTGGTGGACAAGGAGATGGACTGGGGCATAAATCCTTGGGGAAAAAAGCCTTTGTTAGTTTTGTTCTTTATGAAGCTATTTTTTCAGTCTCTTATTTGCTCATAAGACAATTAGCAGTTGAAGTAATTAGTACCGGTATACAAAATTTTTAAATTTATTAACCCATGTTTAGAAAACATTATTAAAATATTCTCTCATTTGCCTTTATTAGCAAACCTTGCTCACAAATGAACAAAATCAAGAAGAAATGATACTTCACTTCCTTGTGGATCTCTCTAGTCAATGTGGTGTCTCATTTCCCTGTACTCCAAGTGGGACATCTTTTGAGTTTGCATCTTCTCTTCATGCCCTTGAGGATAATTCAACCATGGATGTTACATCTCTTTGGGACGATGTACGATTACATCTTCGGCGATTTTTAGTTAATAGACTGCAAAGTCAAAGTCAAGAAGAAAGTAATGCTTTACAACAACAAATGCAGTTTAAAACACAGTGCATACAGCAGCTTTTGTTTCTTTATCCTGAATCAGAAGTCCTAAGCAGATATCAAAATATGCAGAATAAGCTGGTCAGTGATCTTCTACAGAACTGTCTTCTGTCTAGCTGTGGTGAGACAAATTTTGATAAGGTGGTTCATGGTTACCAAAGTTCCATTCCTACATTGTGCACAATGATAAAAGAGGATTTGTATATACTAAGTGGAGCTATTGATCCTTCCTCATCATTGAAGTTTATTAATGAAACTTATCTTGATACCATCACTGAAGAAATGACAGTTCTTCTTGAAAGGCTTTGCGAGCTGCAGTTCAAGGAAAATGCTCTACCTATAGTTAAGACAAGCAAGATTTCAAAGAAGCATAGAGGAACAGTTCATGCTGTGGGTTAGTAGCCTTATTTTATGTTCATTTAGCCTTTTTTATGTTAATTTTGGTTAGATATTTTCATATTTAGTTATACTGCTTTTTGTCAGTATACCTGATTATTTCCTGTGGAGACTGAGATTATTAATTAATTTCATATTTTAACTGTATTACTGCAGTTGAGTTATGGACCATGCTAGAATTGTGGTGAAAAATGTTTTTAACAAAGGGAAACTATCCTATGCTCATAAATGTACAAACTCTGTTATATTTCACTAGATAGTATTGTCATGTTATAATCATATTTTTTTCAGTCTAGCTTATTCCACCTGCTGATATATGTAGTAGGCTTCTATTGATGAAAGCTTGTGAGGCTACTCCCCACACTTGTCAATTGACAGAAAGTTAAATGAGATGATTGCGTGGCTGTGTAACTGTCATAATGTGACCATCGTATAAACAGTGACTCATACATCAGAGTTAGTCCAGAAAGATTACTATGCATTTCGTAATTTAAAAAAAGAATAAAAAAGAAAAAAAAAACTATTCTAGTACTAAACTACAAGAGTTTACAGTTTAGAGTTAATGCTAACAGATCATTTCATGTTTTTCTAAAGAAATTTAAGGTATCAAAGCAATTCAATATTAAAAAGATATTTTCTGTACTTTCTTTTTCCTGTTGTTGAATATGACATGCTAATTTCCAAAAAAAAACATGCAGAATAGAAACTTTCACAGCCTAACTGCATGATTATACTTAACTGCTTTTCCAATGCGAAGTTTTGAGCACTGCTCTGTGCAAGAGTTGTTTGTTTAAAATATACCCTTCCCTAAAGGTGAAGTAGTTTGCAGACAGAAAGCTTTAGAAGTTTAGAAGCATGTGGAAGATATAGAAACAGAGGGAGGATATTTGGATAATACAGCATACAAATAGGATGAATAAGGTAATTTTTGGCCAGGCAAATAGCCTAGAGGCAGAAGAAATTTATATTCTCCTGAGTTCTAAAAGTTGGTCTACAAGTTCGTGTACGTCATCTAGAAATTCTGCTGTAAGAAATGCAAAAGTAATCCTTCAAGAGGAGCTGAAAGATGGAGGAATATGGAACATATGGAAGACAAAGTAAGTGAAAAGGCATACAGACAGAGTGAAAAGGTGACAAGTGGAAAAGCTGATATAATTAGTGGAATGCAATGTTGTTGGGAAATGAGAAGATTATAAGTAGTTTCAGAGCAATGTTGAATTATGGAATGGGTGACGAGAAGTGTGTCTTTGAGTTAGATAGCAAGAGGGGAGCCAGTGAAAGGATTCAAGTACAAATTATCTAAGCAAAGTGACTAGCAAGATAACTTAAAATTCATAATTTATGTTTTCTTTCAGTCTGAAGTAGCTCACAAATATGAGAAGGTTCAATTATCTATGAACATGTAAGACATGGATGTTAAAGAGACCGTAAGGCTTGTTCTCTAAGTACACACACATTAACTATATTATGAAGGAAAAGAATAATCATTCATTATACTAAGATATTCGTTTGCTTTGCTTAAATTTTCTTTGCCACCAGATGTTTCTTTACATGTTTTTGTGCTAGCACGTTTATCAGGACAGATTTTCAGCGCATGCTTCTATTACAAATTCAAAAAAACAAAAACAGTTGAAAAATATACAAAGCAAATCTTAGGAGCTGCTTGTAACTTTTAGGATGGTTTTTATAACTAGTTTCAAACTCTCTATTTATAAATCCCCCAATTTCAGATGCCGCAACTGTCCGTCTAGCACCTGTAAAATTAATTTAGAAGTGTGGCTTGTTACTACAATATGAGCTTCAAAATGGCTTTCTTCGCAATGGCTGTCACGTTTGTGTCTTCATCTACTCACTGTGTAATACCTCATGTTACTGTGTTTCACTAGGTTGCATGGGAGGCCTGCATGACTCACCTGCAATCTCTGGCACTAGTTTTCCGCAGAGTCAAGCTGCTGCAGAAAGTCTGAGTTTGTAGACTGAAGGCAGCCAAACACTTAATTGGTAACAGTGGAGCCAGAAGTCAGTAAAATGCTAGAGGAAAGCTGTAAAGTTACATAGGATATTTTTGTTTGTTTTTTTGCCAAGTCATAGCCTATAATGTTGGAAGCTATAAATCAAATCAACTGAAATTTATACTTCATATCATTACAAAAATATATATTTTTTGAACAGATAGTTGAATGTGAGTCTACAGGTGATGACTTTTTTTCTGAAAAGGGAGTTCTCTGTTCTGAATTGTTTGGATGTACTACATTTATACTACAGTAAAATGGGAAAAGGCACTTTTCTCTTGGAATCAAAGAGTTCCCAAGGGACTTCACCATGAAATAACAATTCTGGAAAAAGTTTCTACAGAATAACTATTCTGGGAGATTTGTAACCGTACACAAGCTCAAGTAGCTTTTTCAGCTTGGAACTCTTATTAAATGCTGAAAAGATCCAGGATACCTTTGCTGCACTCCCCTAGCTGAGAGTGAATTTCTGTATTTATACATAGGTTAAGTTAAAACACAGCTTTAATTGTTTGGCTTGACAGTGATGTTCAGTTTGCTATGGAAAGACTCTGGTTGGTAAGAAAAGGTAGGCATGTTGTGGGGGTAGGAGAGAGGGGAGAAAAAGATTTTTTTTTTCTTAGCTGAAAGACTTTTTTTTTCTGTTGTCTTTGCTTCTGGGAGCCACCAAACCAGCACATTTCAAACCAAAAAATAAATTAATCAAGACATTCAGTGGGGACTGTTATCCCATAGATGAAAAAAAAAATATTTACTAAGTCTGCCATCAGGGAAATGTGATTTTTTTTTTCATAAGACCTACTATAATTGATCCTACTGTATAGGGGATGAAAAAATAACAGGATATAGTGCTAAATGCTAGAACCTTGAAAAATTTTATCCGGATGACCTACTTATGTGTAGGCAATTAAAGGCAGTTTATGACAAGCTTTAAGAGATTTGTAAATCTTTAAAATATTTCCTATATAAATATACTTATGAAATAAGATATCATCAAGTATGTTTTTATCTTTGATTAGAACAGCTATTTGCAAAGTACTATAGTTAGATTGTATCTATTTATCTGGATGGAGGATGAGCGTATTTGAGAGAGCTGCTTGCAGAATGGTATATGAAAAAGACACTTCAATTGCCAACTATAGTGGAGGCAGGTGCCTCTGTGTTATAACTTGATCCGATTCCCAGTTAAATTTTTACCTTTGTCACTGGAGGTTTCAGGCAGTTGTATTTGGGTTAAATTATTTTAAGTATTTTAGGCAGCTTGGATCTGCCTTATTTCTTTGTGTATTCAGCAAGATATCAATGTTTCTAGTATGTTAGAATAATACCAAAGGAAGGATTATTTTCCCCAAAAATGTTTTTGCTTACATTTTGTAAAAATACTGTTTCAGCCTTTCTATCATATTAATCATATATTTCTCTCAAAAGCTGATAAAATGTTACAGTATTTCAAGAAATACTAAAATTATTACATATTTATTAACATATTTAGCAGGTAATGAATCATGCAGACAGTTGTTTTTTTCAGGTTATCCCATGTGATTTTTTTTGCTTCTATTTCCGCTGTGATATTTCTCAGAAATTACTTGCATCAAGTCTATTGAATGTGGATTGTACTTTTGCCTTTTGAACCATTTCTGTATTCCTTTGTTTACAGAAATGTTAAGCTAGTTTAATCAGGCGTCACTGATTTGTCTTAATCCTTTATCCCTTTTAGATGAAGAAATAGCTCTCTTACAGTTGATAAGGCAGCAGGTAAAGAAACTTAAAAGCCATGAAATTATACAAATTTTATGTATTAGTGAAAATTTTCCTTTCATTTTATTTATATAACTAGAGAGAGAGAAAATATATACACACATGCACACTTATTAGCCTATTTATTAATTTCCTTTGGATGTGATGAAGAAGTTTGGAGTAGTATGTATAATTTCAGTATGCTCACTGACTTGCATTATTTTCATTTAGTAACAAACTTTCTGGAGACCCTCAAACAGAATGGGAACTCCAATCTAGTAACATTTACCCTTATAAGGAAATAGAAATGTGTATACTTATATTTTAATTCTTAAATGTGGTTCTCTTACAAAGCATGATGGAAAACCTTTGTTTATCAGTAGCAGGTTATTTTTAAGACTATATTATTGCAAAGTTGAGGTCAATTGAAGTGATAATTTCCAGATTCCAGCCTGTATTCGTTTTAGTGGATTTTTGTCACAGAGTAATTCACTCACTTCATTGGCATAGTTTAATATTCAATTTTTACACTTTCCCCCCAATATACAAAGCTGTTTTCTTTCTTCAAACTTTGACCAACTTCCATGTTCTTCTAAAAATACATTCAAATGCATTTCAGTTGTTATTATCCTTTTTATTTATTTGCTTTAAATATTCATGATTTCCTAAGGAGTATGTTGTTTTCATGGAATGTATAATCTGAAAATGGTGAATATCTGAGCTTGAATAGGCTTGAATAATAAGTATGTTAGGTCTCCTCTGTTTAGAGGAGCTGGATTTGTACAGTGGAGTTGAGAGAAAGAGAAACAAACTTTGGGGTAGCTTCTTGAAATGAAGGCAACTTTGGGGGATTATGTGTAAAGACTTGGTGAAGAAAAATCTATTTTAAGGTCGCTCATCTTTACTCTTCCTCAACAGTTCAGTCTTTTGCCTAGGTTAAAAATGAGTTCCTTTTTTTTTTCTTTTTGCCCTTTTCACTATGAGAAATCTCATTTCTCCTTTAAATTCCTATTCACATAGCTTTGCTTTCCTTAGCTTATCATTTCCTCCCTTTGAAATGAAGGACTTTAGTTTTACACTTGCTTTTATCTTTCCATTTAATTTAAATTCAGTTAGTTCGTGATCTCTTGAGCCATGATTATTGCTTACAACCAATCTCCTATGATCTTCTTCTTATCTGTCAAAAATATGCCTAAAATAGCAGTGTTGCCTGCTGATTTAGTGACCGTGTGATGATAAACAGTTATTCATACT